TGAAATATACTCCAGCCTGCAGCCAGCAGCATTTTTTTTTTAAACACCGCAAGGAGCCGCTTCGCTTGACAAGAGTACGTCAAACTTCACCACGCACACACAATCAAGCTCCCCAATCACTCTCCACAACGAGGACACGAGAAGAGATAGACAGACGCTCTTGCCGCCGATCCAATAGCATCGGTCAGGTCGACACCATTGGTTCCCTCCTCCTCTGTCTGCATCAGACGCCCACCTGTACGACTCAGACTGTCTGTATAATTCCAGACGTAAACGCTGCCACGAAACACAATCAGCGAAGAGCCAGACGTAAACGCTGCCACGAAACACAATCAGCGAAGAGCGCCTGAGAGATGCTCACAACTCCACCCACACATCTCCCTTCATCTTCATCATCCAATTTCCGACAACACCTGTCTCTTATACACATCTAGATGTGTATAAGAGACAGCACACACGTTGTTTTAACTTGAATTATTTACCCACCTGTTTTCTTCCTCCCATGTTGTCACAACTTCTCAATGTCTAATGGTGCATGGTTCGACCATTTTCCATGTGTTTCTACATAGTACCTAAGTTGAGCACCTTCAAGAAGTGCCAAATAGTCAATGTCTCCGTGTTCGGAGTGCCTGTAACACTATTTTTACGGGGGCTGGCTGTTGTGTTTGGCATCTTTCGATGCCTGCATCTCTGCAATTTCATCAGAGTGACTCCCTGGCTCACAGGGTGGCATAGACCTACAGTCTCTTGAGGTTTTTTTTTTTTTTTTTTAACGCAAGACACATGCAGTCTCTTGAGGTCCACGTAATATGCTGAGGGTAGGTGATGTTCTGCTTTGGTCCTTGAGTATGAGTAGAGTCAGTCACTGTGGACGGCTGTCTTGGTGCTGCCTGGCTTCTTTTTCTTTGGAAAAAAAGTAAAGGAACATCAGTGACAGCCCACCTTCCTCAGAAAGGGATATGAGAGGCCATGCCTGGTGAAGGGGCTGCTGGTCTGACGGCTACGCTGTTATTCGTGGGGACCAGCATGTGCTGGGAGCTGGGCCCACTGTCCCTTCTTGCACCACTGCCTGTTCACTTGCCCTGTCTTCTCTGTGCTGCTCACTTGTCAGCCTTGTGGTTTGGCTTGTCGGTGCTGCCTTGAGCCTTTTTCTTGATCCTCTCCAGCTGCCTGCTGCCTAAGCTTGTAATGTCACCCTACTGCCTGCCTTGTGCTTCGCTGCTTTGTCGCCTGGCTTCCTTGTTGCCTTGCTGCTTTCTGCCTCTGAGTCACTGCTTTTCAATGTGCCTTGCTTCCGTTCTGCCTTAAGTTTGTGCCTTGTGCTGTCCCCGGCTCAGGCTGCTTGTGTGTCCTTCGCATACCTTGCAAACACTGGTTTGCTGCCTTGCTGCCTTGTGCTGTCCCCTGCTCATGTGTCCTTTGCATCATCTGCCCCGTCTTCCCATGCTGCTCGCCTGTTGGCCTTCTAGTTTGGCTTCCTTGTCGGTGTTGCCTTGTGCCTCGCTGCCTTCATCCTCTGCAGCTGCCTGCTGCCTTGTAGGCTTGTACTGCCACCCTACTGCCCGCATTGGCTTCACTGCAGCTTTGTTTTGCCTCGCTGTGCTGCTTTCTGCTTCACTGCCTTGTGCTTTGCTGCCTTGTGCTGTCCCCTGGTCATGCGTCCTTTGCGTTCCTTGCCCTGTCTTCCCATGCTGCTTGCCTGTTGGCCTTCTAGTTTGGCTGCCTTGTCAGTGTTGCCTTGCGTTGCCTTGTGCCTTGCTGCCTTCAAGTTGATCCTCTGCAGCTGCCTGCTGCCTTGCAGGCTTGTAGTGCCACCCTACTTCCTGCCTTGTGCTTCACTGCTTTGTTTTGCTTTGCTGCTTTCTGCTTCGCTGCTTTGCGCCTTGCTTCCTTCACTGCCTTGTGCTGTCCCCTGCTCGTGTGTCCTAAAGTTTGCATCCCCCTTGCCAACGCTGGCGTGCCGCCTGGCAGTGCCTGCTGCTCACCGTGTCACCCTGCTGTCGGCCTTGTCATCTGGCAGCCCACCCACCTTCTCTCAGTTCCCTGTGCCCTCCTGCGGCCCTATCTACTGGACAACAATCTGTTGTCCAGTACCTCATCGCTTCACGCTAAGCCTTGCCTCGCTGGTTGTGATTTCATCTGCTGGCCCTCCACTTGCAACAGGGGTTGAGGTTGAGGGATTCATGACTAAGAAGAGTCAGAACGATGAACATCGATCTGGAGAATCTGATTCGGCAGACCATACTTAGCCTAGGAAGCTCAGCCACCTCAGGCCGAGGAGTCACTCACTGCATGCAGCAAAAGTTCTGCAGCGGTGAAATAGTAACTGCTTCTGTGGAGGAAGTCCTGCAGGCTGCAGCACACTCATACACATATTATTACACTCGCGCATACATACACACGGCACACATACAATTTTATCATATTGATCTAGAAGACTAGAAGTTCATATTAACTCCTTAGTTTCCTCCTTTTCTTTGTCTCGTTCTAAATCAGTTCTTCCTGTGAATTAAATTGACAAATAGTCACCGCCTGTTTGTTCGGAGTGCCTGCAACACTATTAGAGGCGCTGCTTTGTCTGATACGCCTCTGTTTCCGTGTTCCCAGGGTGATGAGAGACATTCTTCAAACTGATCAGAGACATTCTTCAAAGTGATTCCCTTCCTCTGATGACGGTGCGATCTCAGTCTGTGGAGTTGTGATGGTGGTATGAACCCGCACTCTCTAGAGTTCGACTTCAGAATCTGGTGTAAGTGACGATCTGCTTTCAAATCCGTCTGTGCTGTGTGAGTGGGCTTTCTGACAGTGCTGCCTTTGCTACCTTGCTTCCCTTGCATTTGCGGGGGAAAAAAAAAAAAAAAGAAAAAAAAAAAAGATCTGTGGATGGTTGCCTTGCCGGCGCTCCCCCGTAACCCCGTTGCTTTGCTGCCCTCTTGCCTGTGGTAATCTGCGTCGCTGACTGGATGGTCATCTGCTTTGCATCTCCTCCCTGTGTCTTACTTCTGTCTAGCTGCCCTGCAGGCTGCTGCCTCATGGCCTCGCTGCTTTGTTGCCTTCCGTGTGATATTGCCTCACTGTTTCGCTCTCCTTGCTGCACTCTTACCTACTCGTTATCTTGCCACACTGTGGCTTGCTGCTTATCTTGCTGCCCTTCCGCTTGCCGTGTCGAGCATTCCCACCTTTCTAGTTCTCCCCTCAACCACTCGCCTATGCACTTCGGAATCCCCCATCCGACACTGTCAGTTGGAATCACAGATGGGTTAATTTCAAAAATATTGCTGTTTCGAAGTTTGGCAGCAAAAATGTCGTCCGCCCATTCGAAGTTTCCTTTGCAAAAATAGAGGTTTCATTGCAGCTTTATCGCGTTCCCATGGTTTGCCAGCAAAAATGCCGCGTTTTGCCCAGTTTCACGGCAAAGGACCCCTAGGCCCCTGGCCTCAGGGACTCAGGGACTCAGCGTTCTGGCCTCAGCCACTCAGCCTTTTTCTTTTTTCCTTTTTTTTTTTTTTTTTTTTTTTTTTTTTTT